TTTTTCCCCGAGGACATTGTTACGGTGTTGCCAGGTGGGTGCAGTGGCACAATCTCGGCTCACTGCAACCTCCGTCTCCCGGGTTCAAGTGATTCTCCTGCCTCTGCCTCCCAAGTAGCTGGGATTACAAGTGTGCGCTACCACGCCTGGCTAATTTCTGTATTTTTAGTAGAGACAGGCTTTGACTATGTTGGCCAGGCTGGCCTCAAACTCCTGACCTCAAGTGATCCGCCCACCTTGGCCCCCGCAAAGTGCTGGGATTACAGTCATAAACCACTGCGCCTGGGCTGCCTGGCTCTTCTTGATGCCTACAGGGTATTCCGTTATGGAGAGGGCATGACATGGATGTCTTGGTCCCTTTGGGTGGCCAGCTTTGGCTGTCACAGGCAGTGCTGTTAGAGGAGCTCAGAGTCTTTGGTCATATGTGTGAGTCCTACGGGATGAACTTGTAGACGGGGAATTCCTGGGTCATGGAACAAGTGGATCCAAATTGCTGATAGAGCACCATTTCTTGTCATTCCAGAAGTCGCCTGCACCAGTACCCGTGACGTATGAGCTGCCCACACTGTACAGGACGGAGGACTATTTTCCTGCGGACGCCAGGGAGGCACAGCACCACCCCCGCACCTGCCCTCGGCCTCTGTGAGCTTTGTGGTCTTCCCATCAGGAATGCTGGAAAAGTGATATTGTGTACATGCTGCAGCTTGGGGGGTTTTTTCTTTGTATTGCTGTTTATTTTATATTTTAAAGAGATTTTTTAAAATGTCGAGATGGGCTCTCACTATGTTATCCAGGCTGATCTCAAACTCCTGGGCTCAAGTGATCCACCCGCCTTGGCCTTTCAACGTGGTGGGATCACGGGCAGCAGCCTCCGCGCCCAGGCTGCTGCCATTTTCAGATTTCCTCCCTGCCTCATGTGAGACTACAGGGTTTGGAGAAGCAGTTGGAACCCACGTGTGATGCCTCCACGTTGGCCTGCCTGGGGTTCTACAGGGGTTGAGGGGCCAGGCCTGGCCGGGGCTGATGGACAGTGGGGACTTTCCTTCTCTCCATGATGGCTTTGCAGCGGCTCCATGGTCCTCTCTGTGATGGGGTTTTGCACGGGGTGCGCTCTGCCACTGTGGTGGGTGGATGGGTGGATGGGTGCTGGTTGTGTTGCCTCTAGACCTCGGTGCCCACAGCCTTGAGGATCCTTCCAATAAAGGTGTCGAGAGCTCAGTCCTGGTCTGGTGTGAGAATGATGGGGAGTGATAGTTTCCTTTTCACCTGGGCAATGTTTTCCAGAAGGTTCCTCCTGTGTGTCACCTGTGAGGGCCTGATCCTGGGCATCTGTTTATGAGGCTCTAGCTGAGGGGAGGGGATAGTCCCGGCCTTTGGATTCCCAGCAAGAATGCAGAGGTCATTAGGACTCCCAGGGTCTTCAAAGGCTTGTTTACCCACATTTCTTCCCATGCAGATGAGTTTCCTGCAATTGTCCTAACACTCCAGATTTCTCACGGTGACTTCAACCTGTAATGGGTATTTCTGGAATTCCTCGAAGAGCCAAGAACACACACATACATACAGCCAAGTCCGCTATGCACATACAGGACTGAACTGTAGACCTGCATTAGAATTTCAAGATAATCTGCGTGACCAAGGTGACTCATGCCTGTAATCCCAGCACCTCGGGAGGCTGAGGCATGAGGGTCGCTTATGCACAGGGGGTCAAGACTGCAGTGAGTCGTGATTGTTCTACTGCACCCTAGCATGTGCAACAGAGCAAGACCTTGTCCTCCACCCCCCAAAAAAGTTTTTCAGGGAAGCCTAAAATGTTGAATCTGGCAAGAGAGTGTAGAGGCCAGGTGCAGCGGCTCATGCCTGGGATCCCAGCACTTTGGGAGGCTGAGGTGGGCGGATCGCTTAAGCCCAGGAGTTTGAGACCAGCCCGGGCAACATAGACTGTGTCTCTACCAAAAATAGAAAAATTAGTTGGGTGTGTTGGTGCACATCTGTGGTCCCAGCTACTTGGGAGGCTGAGGCAGGAGGATTGCTTGAGCCTGGGAGGTTGAGGCTGCAGTGAGCCATGATTGTGCCACTACACTCTAGCCTGGATAACCAAGTGAGACCTTGGCTAATTTTTTTTTTTTTAATTAAAAACAGAAAAGCAGGGAAATAGTTTAGGACAATTTTTGGAATTAAAAGATATAGGTAGACCCCTTGTTTCTGGAAAAGTCGGCATTTTTCTTTCTTTTCTTTTTTTTTTTTTTTTTTTAAGATGGAGTCTCACTCTGTTACTCAGGCTGTAGTGCAGTGGCACAATCTCAGCTCACTGCAACCTCCGCCTCCCTAGTTCAAGCTATTTTCCTGCCTCAGCCTCCCAGGGAGCTGGGATTACAGGAGCCCACCACCACGCCCAGCTAATTTTTGTATTTTTAGTAGAGACGGGGTTTCACCATGTTGGCCAGGCTAGTCTCGAACTCCTGACCTCAGGTGATCCTCCTACTTTGACCTCCCAAGGTGCTGGGATTACAGGTGTGGGCCATCGTGCCCGGCCAGCATTTTTTTATTGAGGTAACTTTTGCAATTTTTTTTTTTTTTTTTTTTTAATGAGACTCCTGTCACCCAGGCTGGAGTACAGTGGTGTGATCACGGCTCCCTGAAACCTCAAACTCCTGGGCTCAAGTGATCCTCCTTCCTCAGCCTCCCAAGTAGCTGGGACCACAGACGTGCACCACCATGCCTGGCAACTTTTCACGTTTGTTTTATTTTTTGTAGAGACAGGGTCTCCCTATATTGTTCAGGCTGGTCTTGAACTTCTGGGCTCAGGGGACCCTCCCGTTTTGGCCTCCCAAAATGTTGTGTTGGCAGAAACTTTTATTGAAGTATAATTTACTTTACAGAAAGGGGTGCCTTAGTGGTTCACTAAATTTTTCACAAACTGAATGCATCTATTTAAGCCTCACCAGACTGAGAAACCAACCAACCAACATTATCAGCACTGAGTAGCCCCCTAATGCCCCCTTCTGGTCCATGCCCATGCCCACCCCCACCCCAGGCTGACAGCATACTGACATCTAACTGTATGGGCTGGAGTTTCTAGTTTCTGTGCACTGTATAGAGAGGACACACGGGATGTGTACCTATGTTGTGTCATCTCTTGTCTCTGGAGTCATTGGCTTGATGTTACCTTGGGAGGTGTCCCTGTTGCTGCGTCACTGTAGATCATTCATTCTCATGCCTGTGTTGTATTGGCTGGGACTGTTTTTATCCAAGGGAGCTTGGACACTCTGCATGCCCCAGTGTGCTCAGGGAGAGCATGCATTGGATGGAAAGTTGGCCGGGTGCGGTGGCTCATGCCTGTAATCCCAGCACTTTGGGAGGCCGAGGTGGGCAGATCACTTGAGGTCAGGAATTCGAGACCAGCCTGGCCAACATAGTGAAACCTCATCTCTACTAAAAACACAAAAATTAGCTAGGTGTGCTGTGGTGTACCCCTGTAGTCCCAGCTACTCGGGAGGCTGAGGCATGAGAATCGCTTGAACCTGGGAGGTGCAGGTTGCAGCAAACCTAGGTTGTGCCACTTCACTCCAGCCTGGGCAATGGAGCGAGACCCTGTCTCAAAAAAAAAAAAAGAAAAAGGAGGAAGCTAATGTTAAGTTTTTAGACAAGCGGTTGAGGACACTCATTTCCAGAAGGATGAGTATCTGCTGAGTGTTGGGCACTCCCAGGCTTCTTTCTCCTCCCCGCGCCTGAAACAGGGGCCGGGGAGAGTTGGAAGGAAATCCCATGTGATTAAGCCATAGCAACGTTGAGTGTCCTAAAGCAGAGAGCTAGGAGCATGGCCCTGAGGGTTAGCCTGCCTGGCGGCACTGTCCACTCCCACGCCTCTTAGCTGTGTGGGCCGGGCTTTTCGCTTGCTCTGAGTCCAGCCGCCCCTGCGGTAAGACATGAGGATGGCTCTGGCCTGATAGGTTGTGGTGAGGGTGACACGAGGTGAGCTGTGTGCGTGCTGGGCACACTGGTGAGGGGCTCTCAGTAATGGGAGGCTGCTGTTGCAGGGCCCCGGCTGCGATGGGGAAAGGGTTGATTGTGCTGCATTTCTCAGTTGACCAGCGGCATCCGAGGGCCTGAACAGTGAGTGACTCAGGAACTGCCCTTACATGTCAGAGTTAGAAGTCATGGGAGAGTAGAGGCTGCTCTCTCTGTCCTGTTAGGAGGGGTGAGGTTGCACAGGGAAATCTATGGGGAAAAGGTGACAAATGAACTGGAAGTAGCCATTCCAAAGTTCCTAGGATTTGCATTGCCAAACAATGAGCTTTAAGGGACACTTGGAGACACCTGGGAAGGAAGGCTGGGACACTGCGCCTTGCCACGAACCCCCAACCTCAGTCCTCTGAGTGGCTGCACTGTCCTTGTGCCAGGTGACTTCGTGTGCATCCTCATTAAAGCAAAGTGCCTGACGTTTCCATTGTCCAGTCAATGCTGTCCTCAGTTGCTGACTATTGATGGCCTCTAACCCCTTGGTAAGGGTAACTGCAGCCTAGGAAAGGGTGATCTGATCTTTTTTTTCTTTTTGAAACAGAGATGGGGTCTTGCTATATTGTCCAGGCTGGTCTCAACCTCCTGGGCTCAAGTGATCCTCCTACCTTGGCCACCCAGAGTATTGGGATTACAGTCGCGAGCCACCAAGGCCTGCCAGTCTTTTTCTTTTGTGGTCGATGTTGGACAGGGACACCAGTAGAAAGGTCACTACAGATTTTTTCCCAAGAGCAAGGCTCTTCGGTCAACCCCCTTTCCCACTTTGCCAGCGGATGTGAACTTCGTGCTCACCAAAGCAAGAGGTTTCAAGACAGCAGCCCATGGGGTTGTATCTGATTGGCAGAAATGTGTGGTTTGCCCTGAATTGTTCTAAGATGTTTTCATGTTGTGACAATTGGGTGACCTGAAAAAATAGAGCTCCATACCTCACTCAGCACACCTGGAACAATTCCAAAATTGCAAATCAATTAGGAGTTTGATGTATAAAATGAATCTATTGGCCGGGTGCAGTGGCTCACACACGAATCCTACCACTTTGGGAGGCCAAGGTGGGTGGATCGGTTGAGCTCAGGAGTTCAAGACCAGCATGGGCAACATAGCAAAACCCCTTCTCTGTAAAAAATACAAAAATTAGCCAGGCATGGTGGTTCTTGCCTGTAGACCCAGCTACTTGGTGGGAGGCAGGAAGATTGCTCAAGCCAGGGAAGTTGAGGCTGCAGTGAGCTGAGATTGTGCAGCCACTGCACTCCAGCCTGAGTGACAAAGTGTTACCCTGTCTTAAAAAGTAAAATAAAACGAATCTATTGAAGAAATAGGTAAACACATTGGAGAAGTGTACAAAATCGAGAAGCCATAAAAGAGGTCAATTTGATTTTGTGTGTGTATATGTATATATATAAATTTTAAACCTCTACATGGCAAAACCAACAGAAAACGCAACCAAAAGATCCCAAAACAACAAAATCCTAGGCAAATTCAAAAGATAGATGACAAATTGGGAAAATATATTTGCATCTCATGCTACAAAGGGATAATCTCCATAATAAATGTCACCTACAAAAAAGGGAAACAGTGGCAAAACAGGCAAAGGCTATAAACAGGAGTTTCACGGAAAATGCAAAACATGGAAAGATACTCAGCCTTAATGTATGCCAATAAGTATGGAAAAATACCCTGAGATTTTTCACATTTCAGGCTGGCAAGGATTAAAATTTTTGATGACACTATTGATTCTGTTTTGTTTTTTGTTTTTTTGAGACAGTGTCTGCTCTGTTGCTCAGGCTGGAGTGCAGTGGTATGATCTCGGCTCACTGCAACCTCTGCCTCCTGGGCTCAAGCGATCCTCCCAACTCAGGCACCCAAGTAGCTGGGATTAAAGGTGTGTACCACCATGCCCAGCTAATTTTTGTGTTTTTAGTAAGATGGGGTTTTGCCATGTTGGCCAGGCTGGTCTCAAACTCCTGGCCTCAAGTGATCCACCTGCCTCAGCCTCCTTAAGTGCTAGGATTACAGGCATGAGCCACTGTGCCTGGTCTTGTTGGTGACATTTTGAAGAAACATATTCTTGTACATTGATGGTGGGACACCATTCTCATGGGGGGCAATTGGCATGCCTATCAAAATTAGAAATGGTTCTAGTTACTCAGTAGGCTGAGGCAGGAGGATCGCTTGAGCCCAGGAGGTTGAGGCTGCAGTGA